CGCCTTCGGAGGGAGGCGAGCCAGAGAGATGGCACCCTAGGGATCATCCAGTCCAGCCCTTCCCAGAGAGGCTGGGGGGGAGGGATTCGAACTCCCAGCCTCGGGCTCCGCAGCCAGATGCTTTAAAAACCACTGAGCGAGATAGATAGATAGATAGATAGATAGATAGATAGATAGATAGATAGATAGATAGATAGATAGATAGATAGAAAGAAAGAAAGAAAGAAAGAAAGAAAGAAAGAAAGAAAGAAAGAAAGAAAGAAAGAAAGAAAGAAAGAAAATAGGTAGGTAGGTAGGTAGGTAGGTAGATAGATAGATAGATAGATAGATAGATAGATAGATAGATAGATAGATAGATAGATAGATAGGATGGACGAGCAGATAGAATGATGGTGGGTGGAGAGATAGAAAAGATGATGGACAGACAGATGGATGGACGGACGGACAGATAGACAGACAGATAATTTATTCATTTACTGATGTAAGCCCCTATGGTTCTTTTTAAGGAGAAAGGCGGAGTAAAAAATATTTTACATTGATTTGTCTGTTTGCTTATTCATTCACACCCTGTCTTTGTTAATATGCCGAGGTACAGCTAACACGGCCCCCTCAAAATACGTAACTGACTCTGGTATCTGATTAACACCCTCCTCCGCTGCCCAAATTCTTCAGATATCCCCCCCCCCCATTTATTTCTGTTTTATTGAATCCCTGCTTAGGTGTTCTGATGGGCGGTCAACCCACATCCAAGTTCTGCAGGCTCTGAATATGTAAACCGATTAAAGCGGTTTGCAGAGAAGGCTTGACATGGCGACGCTGTTGATAAACGCTGGGCTTTTCTTTTTATTACTCCAGGTTACAACTCCCATCATCCCCTCCAGGCCTTTTAGCTCTCCTGGCTCGGGATAATGGGATCGGGAGTTGTAGCCTTACAGCTGTGTGGACGCCTCTCGTCGCTCCTTTTTGGCTTTCTTTCTCTCCTCCTGCCGGCTCTTGCACCCAGGGCTGCCCGGTCTTTTTCTGCCCATATGAAGAGTGATATTCATTCCACTCAGGAGAAATTTTTTTAAAAAAACACAGTTCAGTAATCCTTTTTTGCCCCCAATTCTGTCTGGAATGATCAGTAGAGGGAGCTCCCAACCAAAGGATGATTTCGGAAGCAGAAGGAAGGAGATGGTTTTTTTTCTTTTTCCTTTGACATTCCTGACTGGGCTCAAAAAGTCTCTGGCTCGATCGCTCAGCCCCAGACCAACCCTGGGCCAGTCCCCTAAACCCACACCCGACGAAAAGGAAATAAAACCAGTTTCCATGATTTCTAAATCATTTTCGACTCTGGGCCTTATTGCGGTGAGAAGTTCATTCCGATGTTTACATATATTTCTCAAAAAGAAGAAGTCATCAAAAGGCTCACGATTCTTGATTTTTTAAAAAAAAATGTTATTATTATTACCAGTTGATAGGCGCTGTGCCTCAGATGACAGCAAAGGGACTCTCAACCCTGCCACCCTTTTCCACAGGGAGAAGCAATGGGAAAAGTAGAAGACAGTAGGAAAAGAGGAAGTCTGAGTGTGAGATGACTCGACCCTGTCAAAGAAGCCACAACCTTGAGTTTGCAAGACCCACAAGCAGGGCTGTTGAAGACAGGGCATTTCGGAGGCCTCTCATCCACAGGGCCGGCGTGCGTCGAAAAGGGCCGATGGACCCCTTTCACCCGCTGAAACAGCCGGATGTTTGAGTTTCATGGGACAAGACCCATTGTCGAGAGAGCTGAGCGGGGACAGCTGCTTTTGAACTGTGAGCCAAGCCTTCTGACCTAGAGAAGGCACTCTTACCTATATGCCGGGGGATTGTTTTAAGTGGCTTTCTAAAAAGTCTGGATGGTTTTTAAAAGAAAAAGTTTCGGTGTCGGCTGATGGGCCACGTAGTCCACAGGGTCTGGAGGACCGACACATTTCCCTAGGCCTGCTTCTGAGGCTACACGAAAACCAACTCTTTAACTGAAGACATGCCCTAAGCGGGAACAGGTGGGTCCCGAGAATAAAGCCCTTTCATCCGGGTTTCCCCCACCTTGGTTCCACTTACGAGATGATGGGAACCTTCTGGTTTTCTTAATCCCACATCTCTAGGCTGCCCGGTGGCTAGCACGTCTGCCCATCATCCTTCTGCATCTCCTCCAAAATCTTATCACAGCCCCGCCCCCCCAGGATGAGCCGAATTTCGCTTTGATAACCTACTGGGAATTTTCTCCTGCAACTGGTTGGTTCCAGCCGGAGGTATTCCCGGAGATTCACTTCCATGTGAAGAGGAGACTTGTGTCACCCACGCGGTGGGCCGGCATGCCGATTTCCACACACATCTTTGGGGAGCTGAGACACCCAGTTTCCCAACGCTGGGAGAGACAGGCAGTGATTCGGCGAGATTTAAAAGCTGTGCCCGGTCACCTCGCCTGTGCTGTGCGATTCCAGCGCCCCGCCAAGGAACAATAATGAAAATACACAGACACACAATAGCAGGAGAAGGAACATAAAGCCATAGAGTCAAAGTACAACGCTCACACCCTTTGGGCAACTTCAGAACGAAACATTCGGGCAGGATGGCATGATGAAACCACCACTCCGGAGACGGGGAAGGTGCAAACCACTTTGAGGAGGAGTCCCGAGCAAACCCCGATGAATAAAAAAAGGTAACCAGTTTCTTGTATGTTAAGGCGTGTTTCTCGACGCACGGGCTGGGGTGGGGCCGGGCATCTTGAGTACGAGCATCGAGTCAAAACAGTGGCAACCCATGCTCTCCCTTTGGTGTTGGCCTTTTCACGTGGATGCCATTAAACATTCTGGTTGGGCACTTTGCACCGGCGAAGATAGCCAGTGGATTGCATTTAATTTCTGAGAAAGCCAAGGATCTTCCCACAATCTCCCCTTTGACCTACCCTGGGAGAAGGCTGTTCTCTGGAAGGTTTTCTTCCCTCCCCATCGGAGGCGGCCAGAAGGCAGAGAAGCGGCGCCCAGGGGGGACCGGTTTACGGCCACATTTATCCTGCTCCTGTCAGGCTTCTGCAGAGGACCATCAAACGTGGAACAGGTAAGGAGAGACATCTATATACAGAAATATATGTATACGGGAGGTGCACAGAACCCAGGAAAAAAAGATGGCTCACCCACAGCTTCGGAAAGGGACTTTTCCCCAAAACTGGACTGGCTGATTTCGCCGTGGGGGCCCAAACACAAACCGATCTACGCTCTGCCTTCCTGTCAGGGGCAAAGTTGATCGCAACCAGCAAAGAGACCTGTGCTGTCCTGAAGGCGAATGAACGGACACAGCTCCATCGCTGTAGTTCTCAAAGGCCGACAACCATCATAAAAATGTGGGGTTTTATGGGGGTGTGTGCCGTGGACGTCCTTTGGAAAGGGCTAGCCAGGTGAAGCTGTGGTGGTAACGGCAAACCGAGTGACCAGTGATACCCAGAAGTGGTTTGAGTTGGTCTACGCCTTTGTGGGCTGCACCTGGAGAAGCCGTTGGGAGTCCAGCTTTTTGGGGAACCCATGTTTCCGGGGTCTTTTCAAGGCCCCCCCTCGAGACGCTTGGTTATTTTCTTAGGGTTCTTCGCCAGCTGAGTGGCTTTCTTCTGTGGCACTCCGCACATGCCCCGCTACATGCTTTTTTTGCAGCTGAGATGGAAAACAGAGCCCGCAGATCAGAGGCCCTGAGAGCTTTTTGGGTGACTCCGGAGTGCCTGAAGAACAGAAAGCAACTCAATCTCACATCGCTTATATAAATAACATATGATACATATCTTTATTTATGTATGCAAAGCCAGTTTTAATATCTTCCTGTTTTACATTTTACAAGGTATTCTGGACTGCGGTTGCCACTCCCCTCAATATTTCAATTGTTAAGATCCTGACCATACCAGCAGATCTCCAGCTGATTGCTGCCCCAAGGCGCTTCCAATTTTTTTGGGGGGGGAAGGCTGGAAGAAAGAGCAGAGTGGCTGAGCAGAGTTATTTCTGTCAGAATCTCTCTTTTTTTAAAGAGATCTGGAGCCAAGGGCAATGATGTATAATATTTAAAGAAATGATAAATAGACATTTTAAAAGGAGAGAAAAACTCTTTGACTCTCTGTGAATGCAAGAGGGTATAAGGGGGACTGGAATTGCATGCATTTACGCAGGAGTACACTCCCATGAACCTAGAGGGACTTTCTCCAGTGTCAAAGGTGCCCATTCTTAGCCACCCGAGTGCATAAAATCAAGCGATGGGGTGGAATCACCCACAATCACACTGTTCCCAAAACAGGTAAGGTCTTCCGGCAGATGCCGGACCCACAGTCGGTGGGGGGAGCAGTGACCTGAGATCCTCCCCAGACCCACAAGGAGTTCCCTGTTTGGATTATCTCTCTCCCAGGAGTATAACAAATAAGCAAACAACCACATTTCCCTACCACGATGCGCTTTGCGGGAGCAATTCCACGCCTAAGAGCCTGGTGTGGGCCGTTCTCTGCCTGGAATTTGGCAAACTTGGGAGTCCACACCAATCTCTTTGTCAGTCATATTCATTCTCAGTAGGATTTGATGAAGCCGTAGAGGCTGGCCGGCTGACTCCCCCCCCTCTCCAAATTCTCTCTTCCAGAAGGCCCTGCCCCCAGCATGCCGAGCATCTTTTCCTACCAGAGCGCCGCAGTGGACTGGTGCGAAGGCAACTTCGAGCACTCGGAGTACATCGCTGAATACTACAACACGGTAAACCTTCGTGCAGCGCTGTAGCTGCACAGCGTGGAGAACCCAGCCAACGGGGCTCCGGCAGCCCAGCGCTCTACCACCCTCGTGTGCCAATGCCAACGAAAGGGCTCAAGCGGGCGAACAGGACCACTCCTTTTGAAACAGCGGGCAGCAAACATGATCAGCACCCACCACCACCTCCAAGTTGGGGGGGATAATTTTGTTTTAAAGCAAATACTCCCCCAGACTCTGTTGTGGGTGGCTCGGATTTATCCACGTTGTGCACCCGGTGGGATTCGGTTTGCCCTCTCAGCGTGGGGATTTGGGGGTGGGTCTAGGGGGGAACAGAATGCAAAAACTTGTGGGGACCCCCCCACACACACACACACACCCCGAGGATTTGCCAGTGATCTGCCTGCTTCTCGGTAGGGTTCCCACAGGCTCTGCTTCCCATGGAGAAAACATGGTGAAACCGGTTTTACCAGCCTGCTTCGGCTGTTCCAAATTGCATCTGCCTCCTGGGGGTTCTGAGTAGGTGGGGAAAAGTCACAGGAGCACACCTTTCTGGAGCCAGAGTTCTCCCCCCCCCCCGAGCAGGGGATCTGGACTACAAATCCCATCTGCAGCAGGTGTTCTCTGGAGCTCTGCAGGATGGGGCCCGCATTAGACCTCCCAGTCTGTTTCCCCAGCTATCATGGGCAGAGCCGGTCCTCTTGTGAGGCGTTTGGGGCCCCAGATACTGGAAGGCAGGGGAGGTGAACCATATCAGCAGGGGGATGATGGGAGTTGTTTTTCAGTCCTGCTGCAGGCTGGCTAGAAGCACCTTCCTTTGGAAGGGAGCGCGGCTGCCTTTCCACACAGCGGGCTCCTTGAGTAAGCGCTGCAGGGTGACCTCTCGGTCCAACAATGAGAGGCACATTCTGAAAATACTATTAATAATATCCACAACACCCATCAGTCGCGATTTAAAGCCAGGTTTTCAGCTCACCCCCTTTTCTCGCCTTATCCTTTAGATCAGCAATATCAGTTTTTTCATCTTGGCACCCTTAATACTGTGGCTCAATTCCCCGTACATGGATTTCCGTCCCCTTCCAGTCCGAGGCCTCGCCATCATGGAGATTTGCATCGGTGAGGAACGACGGAGGGTTGGGTGGAGTGGGGGGGAAATCTGAATTATATCATCTTTTCCGACCCTGCCAGAGTTTTGGGCTTTGTCCTCAAAGCCCGGCTTCTCAGCTTGCATTCCTCGGAGGCTACTTTTTGATGTGGAAAGGGCAGGACCCCCATATTCCACAAAGACTGGTTCCAAGCCCTCTTGTGAATACTGAATACTGCGGATAGTAGCAAACACAATACATAGCATGGTAAAAGGGGGGGCAGAAAAAAGTATTTCTAGTTTTCTTCTTCTTCTAATATTTTTAATATTTTTCAGACTGCGGAAAAGTGAAACTGCGGATCCTGATCCCGCGGATACGAGGGTAGATCTGCGGGATCTCCTGCGGTCTGAGAATACTTGGCTGAAGGTTGTGGGGCTTTTAAGATAGGCAGGAAAGGGAGTGAATGAGGTGCAATTGGGTCTCTTGGAAATGGTTCTGCAGAAATGCTTCGGCGATGGCTCCCCTCCGTCAAAAAAAGGGGGGTGAGGCTAGATGACCCCTGGGTTGCCCATTCTGTTCGACCACCCTGTTCTCTTGCAGGCATCTTCTCGGCCTATTTCCACATGACCCTGAGCTACGCTGGCCAGCTGCTGGACGAACTCTCCATCCTATGGGGCATGGCGATGTGTTACGCTTTCTGGTTCCCCACCCGATATTTCCCGGGGTTCATCAAAAACAGGTAGGGGGACTGGGGAAACCCACGGCCTGTGCAGCATGCAACTGAGGAGGAGATCTCTGGAGAACAGTAATGGGTGGAAATGATTTCCCTGGAAGTGAAATGTCAATTTGGCGGCCAAGGATTGGATCTAGCTAAACAGGTCAGACAGGTTTTTGGAGGCTTTATGGATAACCTCCGGCACCCGTTTAACCGGGAAATGGGAGCCGTAGAGCGATCCAGGCAGAACGTTTTCTTTTGTTCCCCACTCCTTTCATGCACAAATATCTGTCTTTTCTTCATGTACCTTGTTATCCAACCCTCTTTCCTCCTCCTTCGACAGGGATCAGTTTGTGCGGATCGTCCTTCTCGTGACTCTCCTCAGCACCTTGATGTCCTTCGTGAAACCAGCCCTGAACGCCTACGCGCTCAACTGTGTCGCCTTCCACCTCCTCTACCTGACAACGCAGGAACTGAAACAGTACGGGGCTCTGTAAAATAACACCCTCACCTCTCTGAGAGACCCTGGCCAAGCGCTCCCCGCCTTTCCCTCTTTATTTTATTGCTATTTTCTTGACTTTGCCCTTTATAAAAAAAAAAAAAATCACCTAAGGATTAGCCCCATGCCGGCTCGCCTACGGCAACTCGGGCACTCTATGCAGGTGAGCAAAGGGCCTGGAAATTTCTGGGCCAAGGCTGGATCGCCGGTGCAAAAGCAAAAAGCCCTCATCGTCCCAAACCTTGGCCTTTTCCTCAGGTGTAAAAACCCTCGGGTTCACCATCTGGCTGCCGTGATGGTGATTTGGTGGGTCATCTCCATCGGCTGTTGGCTGGCGGACAAGTTTTTGTGCAGTTGGTGCCAGCAACTCAACTTCTGCTACCTTCACAGCCTCTGGTAAGCGCGGAAATCGGGGTGTGGATGGGGAACGCCCCCAGATATGGGAGCGGACCCCAGTTTTTAGGAACCCGTGTCCCTCAATGCATCGAGTCACACGTTGCTTTTGAACCCGTGGCCTCTAAAACCAGCTCCCCGGAGGGAAGAAACTCCTGGAAATAGTAAGCCACTGGTGGCCCAAGCGTCGAAAGAGATGGGAGGAAGGAATCCTTCTTTTCCCGCAGAGCTTGGAAACCCGAGTTTGCTTATTGATCAGAATCAACACAGGTATTAAGGAAAAAAACAACAACAACCCTCCTATAGTGACAAATATTGCCATTTAAAAATGGAAAAGGGTGTGTAGATGAGAGAATTTAGATTTAAGTTCGAAGGATCAGGTTTGTCAAACGTCTCACAGCCACAAAGTACTGTGTCTCTAAGGCGGGGCGACGGGGACTTTGTTCCAGGGCGGTGGCACTCCGGGTGAATAAAATAAACGGAAACCTCTCTCTCTGACTTATATAAGGTCTCTCCCCACCACCACCCTTGAAACGGTCAATATTCTTTTTCCCAATGGTCAGGGTGGAAAAGTGCTTTCGCATTGGAGATCCACACCCAAGATTGCCGAATGTTTGGGGGAAGTCGCGGTTCTAAAACAGATCTCGTTTTTTTGGGGGGGGGAAGAGAGCTGGTCCCATGGGCACCTCTCTGGAGACCCTCGTGACCTTGTCGGTTTTCCCTCCCAGGCACGTTTTCATCAACGTCACCCTCCTCTACTGCGCCACCCTGATCATCTACTTCGACATCCTCTACGAATCGCCCGCCTCCGAGCCTCGGTTGATGTACTGGCCCAGCGAAACGAGCCTTCTGGCCCTGCCGTACGTCGCCATCCTGAAGCCCCAGAAATGGTGCTAGGCGCCAACTCCTCGGATGCCTGGTTCTCCTGGCATCGCGCCCTGCCCGCCTTCCATTTGAACCATCTGTTTCCTATTTATGGAGGCCATGGCGGTGACGTTTGGCACAGGATGCGCCATGCCAATGATGGACATTCCTAGCCCTCGAACGCTGGGGGGGCGGGATTCTCTTCCCCATTCGCGGCCTTTTCCTGTGCTATCCTGCAAATTTATTTATTTGTTACGGTGTTGGCACAAGCACAAAAAATCCCAAATCCCATCAGAAACACGACTCCTGCTTTCCAGACTTCTTATTTCACTCCCGTTATAAGCCTCTGAATGTCGCTTCTCTTCCCAAAGTGAGTTTGTCAATGGAAACCAAGATCAGGGCGTCCCTGCCTTCCGCCGGGGTCGCCCGTGAGTTTTGGAGGTACCAATGAGGCCGGACGGCTTCAAATACGGGCAAAAGGTTAGATTGCTTTTTTTGCAAACGCTCCTGACTCGTCCTGGCAGTGTGGCAGGATGGATCCCGGTGGGAATTCAACTGGAGAGGTTAAGATGATTTCTGTGCAGCCAGAATTCTGGGTTGGAGGCATCCTTAATGGGACAGCTTAAAACCTACAAGTGAGGCCAGCTTTTGAGGCCCCACAGATCACTTCTTCAGGCTGGGGGGATGCCAAAAAGAAAAAGAGAGGATATTCTACTACCTAACTGGAACAGGATTAACTGTCCATGTTCCTTCCACATGAGATTAACAAAAATAATAACATTGATGGGTTTGGTTTGCTTGCTTTGGGTCCCATTCGTTGTCTAGAGCAATTTTGGATTTTTGTTTTTATTTGCGACCAAGTCAATTACAGAATATATTCAGAAGTGGTTTCCCCTTCTCTTCTTTTTTTTTGGGGGGGGGTCATCTCTGGGACGATGCAGCTTACCCATGGCCACCCAGGCTAGCTCTACTCCCAGGAGGCACAGCGGAAGATTTGAACTCCCAACCAAACTACTGAGTTATCTGGCCAGCTATCAATAGCCTAAGAACAGCTCCCTGTAGTTACTTCAGGACATAAGGGGGCTTTTTATAATAGGCTTAAAAACGAAATGACAGGGGACAGCGATTAGAAGAGAGGGGGGTCCCAGGAAGGCCCAAGGAGACCAATTCTGGAAATTGAGTGCCTTTGGTTTAGACTGTGGACAAAAGCCCACAACTCTTGGAAATCTGGGCGCCTTTGGTTTGAGCTGTGGACAAAAGCCCCACAACTCTTGGAAATCTGGGCGCCTTTGGTTTGAGCTGTGGACAAAAGCCCCACAACTCTTGGAACTCATTCTGACTTCTGGCAAAAATTTTCATGGTTTCCTAGGTAGAAAATTATTGAGATGTGGTTTCTTTTTCCCTTTTTCTGCCTCTGTGCAGCTTGCCCAAGGCCATCCAGGCTGGCTCTCTTCCCAGGAGGCACTGTGGGGGGACTCAAACTCCCAACCTCCGGCTCGGCAGCCAGAGACCTCTAACCACTGAGCCCTCCAGCCAGCTGGATACTGAAAAAGACTCAAGTCTTTTAAATTCAGATTTGAAAACCTGGGATCCGGAAACCTGACCTAGATGGCCCTCTGAACAAGCCCGTGCCAATCACAATGCCAAGGAGCGTGGGTTAATTTGCCTTTTAATGAGCTGCCTGATTTCGCAAGGTGGTGGTTTGTCTGTTGTGAAAGTTTTAACTTTTTACAGAAGGCCAGGGTTCCCTGTTCCCACTGTGGGAGCAAAATAAACACGAAGACATTTCTTCCCCAAAGGAAATCACCGCTCGCCCACTCTGTGAATGGCACAGCAATTGCGGTTTATATTGCCTCCTGTTTTGCAATTAAAAAATGTATGCTTCGTTTCAGACAGGCAGGGGGTTGGATAACATCGCCCTAAAAGCAGACTATCTTTTCCATTTTTACCTATCCATTTCGTGTCCAGATCTGTCCCTTTTGGCGCCGGGAAGAGCCGGCTGGGAGACATCTTTCAGCAAGCGAGAGATAAAATAATAGTTTCCCATTTCACAATGGTTGTATTCTTCCACGCATCCGTGCCTCCCCAGTTGGCATAAATGGCACTCCTTCTCTCCCTATCTTTTCATGACACCCCTATGAGTTTGGGAAAAGATGATGGGTGACTGAAGCCATCCATTGAATTTGAAGTCATAGTGGGAACCTGGCTTCTTTTTGGGGGGGCACTACAAATCCCAGAATCCCCATTGGAGAGGCTCAGATGGGCAGCTTTCCATCTGTCTCCAGTCTTGTTTGGAAAAAAAACCCCGCACACTCTGTGTGCATTCCCCCCCCCCCATTATGTCTCCAGTCTTGTTTGGAAAAAAAAAACCCCACACACTCTGTGTGCATTCCCCCCCCCCCATGCTCTCTTGCATCTATAAGTGGCTCAGAACTTCAGCGGATCATCCTGGAACCCTTTCCCCCGGGTAACCATCCAAACAGAACTTTTTTGGCTATGGCAACCATCTCCCAGAAACCGTAACTCCTGGTTACGCACCGCCCGCCCTGCGAGGTGGTCCGCATGGGAAGGCTGACCCTCGGCGTCACGACGGGATTATGCAGCAGTCCAAAATCTTTTACCCCCATCCGGAGACATACGCCCCCCGGCCTCTAGACCGACCGGACCCCCAGCCGAACCGACCTTTCCCGGCATTTGTCCTGCCGGAAAACCTTGCTTCCATAGGTAGGAGAGGTTTAAGCCGGGAGCTGTGCTTTTTGTTTTTGATTGCCCAAAGTTATCCCTGGAGAGGGGTGGTCGCAGCCAAAGCTAAAAACATCCCCTTATCAGTTGAACAGGTATCGTCTCCTTTCTGTGTTAAGATCCCTGCCTTAAATACATCCAAATTTGATGCAGCACTGCAGCGCTAAATCGCATGAGCACTAAGACATCTGGCCCAAGTTGGGGTCCAGAATTTTTGGAGGGCTGGGGCCTGGGTTGCGAGAAGGGAGCCAACTTTCAAAAACTTTAATCAGAGACAAGACTCTGCATTCAATGGCCTCTGCTCTCTGCGATCCAAAACCAGAAACCAATTTTTAAAGGCCTTTCGAGAGAATCATGATCCGTCTCCCCCAAGCGGGAAGATTGGGGACCAACAATGAAATTAAAACGGAACCAAACACAACCACACCATATTGGCACAAACTGAATAATTCACTGCCCGCTGTTCTAAACTGATCTCTTGCCAAGCAGAAAGTTGTTGTCCGCTCTTAAAAAAGAAACACCAAATGAAATCCCTCTTCATCCCGTACTAAATCCACACTGTAATATTGGCGTGGCCCAAATGGCGTGTGCATGCAGGTCGGGGGGGGGTGAGAAGCGGTGGAGATGGAAAGATATAAGAAATAATTGGGCTTTGCATTGCAAAACCCACCTGTAAGGCCCACACACAACCCACGGAGCCAGACACGAAGGCGCACGAGACAAAACCTGGAAGAAACACCTTGGCTGAGGATCAAAATCATTGCAAACCCCATGTGCAACAGAAACGGCATCTCACAACGAGAGCACCTAATGAGAGACGGAAAAGAGGTTCATTGCCAGGCTCTTTTCTCCTCTGAAAATATCTCATTTGCACTTTTTGAGACTGGAAAGGAGCAAAACGCTGCTTGCCCAAGACATCCTGGTGTTTCGGGACTGGCGTTTGACATTTCCACAGGGGATGTGGCCCAATTTATGCACACATCTCAAAAACACAAAGATTGGGAGGAGGGGGGATGTGCAAGGACCCCCCCCTTTGAGATCAAAGGGGGCATGATGCCAAAATGGATCTCGAGCCCCCCCACCCTGAATTTGGGCAAAATTTTTGTTCGGTTTGTCCCCGAAGAATTCTGCAAATGGAGGTGGGTGGTTTTGCAAGAAATGCCATTCAAAACGAGCCAGCAAAGTAAATTGGAAAAGTCTCACGATTCTAAGAGGTTTGGTTTTGCCCGCGAATTTTGGCACAGCCACACCTCTTGGGTCAACATGTTCTCGGTGCAGAAAACAGGGGGGCAAGCATGGATTCTGTTGTGCTCGTCTTCCAGGGACACCCAGTTTGTACCATCCTGGCAACCAAGAGAAAGAGCTTTTCGCGACGCCCCCGGCAGGTAACACAGACGATGTGCGTAGACTGTCAACACAACAAAGGGGGCTGTGGGGTGGCATTTCTGAAAGGGACAGGAAGGGCCAGTGCAGGGGAACACCTGGCTGGAGGGAAATGCTTTGAAAATCCGCTCATCCATATAAACTAAACAAAGTTAAAGTATGATTTAGTTCCCTCTATCTACCAATCGACACTCTACAGCAATGCCGGCTTCTATCCAAATACAATTTGATGTAGATCTTTTAGGCAATATAAATTGATCCCGTGCTTTCTATATAAATACAGGGTTAACAGGGGGAAATGGACTCTGCTTTTTGATGATGGTATTTGTGGAAGGTTGGTTTGAGGGATCGCCCTGAATTGCAGCTTTCCCAGCCAGGCGCCAGGGTCCCTCTCGGTCCTGTGGATGGTTATTTGGGGAGATCTCCTAAAATCTCTACCAGCATGTTTCCCCAAGGTGGTTTGTGAGGTTCAGTCCCTGGCAGGACTCCTATCCGCATGTGGAACATCCACCTGACAAGGGAGCATTTAATCCCGAATAGGAAAGGAGGGAGGGGGAGAGGGCAGGTAGATTTTGGAGGGTGTCCCTTCTAACACGGATTTTGCCCTCTGCTTCTTCCTAGGCTTCCACATGGCTCCATGCGGCTGTTTTTTCGACCCCCGGATCTACCGCATCGAGTGGGCGACGGCCAACTTTCTCCAGCCTCCGGTGTACAAGTTGTCTGGTGGGCCAACTCCCCAAAACCCGTACCTCCTGGATGGCCAGAAATACCTCAAGAACCCCATCCAACCCGGGCCCTATCCGGCTTACCCAGGGATCGGCAGCAATCCCCCTTTTGTTCTGCCATTCTTCAAGGCAGAGGCCCCCACGGCTCCTGGCATGGATGGCTTTGTTGGGCCCCCAGACCCTGGACCCCGGTTTACGGATCTGGTCCGTTTCCCCCGCGAGGGCCTGGCATCCAGCAGAGAGCACAAGCTCCCCGGGGTGGCCCCCGAGTCCAATCGGAAGGAGCCGTCTATAGAGCCCACCGGTGCTTACGAGCCTCTTGAAGGCCGGCAAGAGTTTGGCAAGGATTTGGCCTTCCAAGCAGAAGAGGAAGGGCCGTCGAAAGAGTGCGAGGCGGTCCAGGATTTGATCCGGAATGTGGCGATGGCTGTGGTACGGTCCAAAGACCCATCCCCTCTCGGTGAGCCTGGAGCAGACGTAACGGCAGAAGGGGAAGGCTCTTTCGACTTAGAAAAAGCTGAGCCCGACGGAGAGCCAGGCGAGTCCTTCACGCTCCCCGACGAAGTTCTCCTGGAGGTCGCCATGAAACTCTTTGATTGCTCTCCGGCCAACTCGGACACGGAGGTATCACTGGACAGCCTGACCGATGGCGGCCGGAGCAGTTCCTCTGGGGAAGACAGCCCGAAGGACGGGGGCTTCTCGGGGGAAGATTCGCCCAGCGACATCCGCTCCCTCAACCTCCCCAACGAGCTCTTGTCTTTCGACTACAGCGTGCCCGAAATCCTCAGCACTGTCACTAGCTTGGATTACCTCTACGACGTGAGTGCCTTTCGGGAGGAAACCCAGTGGGACTCCGGGCCAGTCTCCCTGCCTTTTGCCCCCAAATCTTTGGAGCCCAGCATGGGATCCGAGGAGAAACTCAAGAAAAACAAGCCGGCGGCTGGCAAACCAAAACCGGCACTCGCACAGGGGGACATCGGAGAGCACCAAGAGTAGAAGCCACTGCACTGGACGTCTGACCCCCCCCAAAACGGACTTAAAGCGGACCTGGTGTTCTAGCCCTTGATCACGTTTGGGGGGGCCCTGCTAAATCTCAAAGTCCTTGCCATTTTATCTATTAAAAAGAAAGAGTGCTTTTTAGAAATCCAAACCACACACCTCTGTATGAAGTCAATGACCACAAGGCCCGTTTTAACGACGACTCGGAAGGGATGCGGTATGCACAACGCCACAGCCTATCTACTTTCCGGGTGTGAACGAGGGCGTAACAAAGCCAGTGCTTGGCAAAAAGCAACACAACATGTGGGACCAAAGTCACAATGTTGGAGGGATCGAGTGGGGTGGGGGACACGCCAATTTTACTAGCTATTTCCAGAATCTTAATACCGTTCTCTTACCATGCCCAAACTGTTGGCTGTTTCTAAAAGAAAAGGGGAAAAAATGACGAGCAATTCAATAGGTTCGTTTTTAACCTTCCAGTTATCCTGAAACACCATTAGAACAAGATACAGAAACCAATTCCTAGAGGAATGGAACTTCTCGAGCTTTTGATTTTTGACTCTTTTTGCCGAGAACGTCTTGCCGTTGAGAACAGACGGCAGGGGGCGCTGCGGCTGCAGCTGGAGGGTTCAACGTGTTCACATCCAGGCCGAGGAAGGAATGAGAAAGAAGCGGATGGGGATTCCCCCCCCCCCAGCTCAGTTCACTCTTCCGAGCTGAAATCCTGGGCCAACCAACAGCAGTGCTAGTAAATCGCTAAAATAGTGAATTTACTAGTAAATCATTACATTGGTGAATTCAGAAAGGGCTTTCTCTAAACATGCTTCTCCTTCAGAAAGGGGGCTACAGATTGCAGATGGGATGTAGGGTTCCCCCCCTTTTAAAAAATCCTGCCCATCTCTTCCTGGAAAAGAAGGGGGTCTAATAAATAAATAAATAAATAAATAAATAAATAAATAAATAAATAAATAAATAAATAAATAAATGGAACGGGTTTCCTAAGTTTTCCCATAAAACAAGGGCATTCCTGGCAGCCGGGTGGTTCCTAAGCATCGACAAGTCACCATCCAAACTTGATGTACCCGGAGATGGGGTTTTATTCCCCTCTTCCAAAATTGCTACAGGCCATGGGTTGTGCATTCAGGGCAAAAAGGCCCTCCCTGGAAGAAACGGCTTTTCTAAGGTCCCGGAAAGACTTTGGGGCTGAATGGCCATCTTTTAAAACAAATGCAGGCGCCATGGCATTAAAACTGCTGTGAGAGTGGCCACCCCATCCAGCGTGGTTCTACTTTCATTTCCAAGGCACCCTCTGTATCAGGCAAGGAAGTTACACTGGTCCACAGCGGGCCAAAGAAGGGCCCTTCCCGCTCCTAAACTAAAGGTTTTTAAGGGTCTTTTTCCAAATTATAAAGCCCAGGATTTCACGGGACGGACGCCTGGCCATTCAAGCAGGGACCAAGCTACTATTAAACAGCGTTAAAGGGGGTCGTTTGGGCAGGTCAGATCCATTCCACCAGAGAAACAGGGCAGGACAGATCACCATGTCCAAGAATGATGGGACCCGGAGTCACGAAACATGGGGTGAAGTGGAGGTTCTTCACCCCGACTGAAAACCAAACCTCTCTTTAGCGTGGCTAGAGATCATTTTGTTGGTTTCATGTGTCTCTGTGTGTGCTGAACAACCGACAGCTTTACTCAGATTTACGTTCAGGGAAACTGCCGCAAACCCCCAAACAAAAGACATCACCCCCCATGACACCCTCTGCCTGCCAGGAAATGTCAAGAAAGCATTCACCCACCTTTTAAATTTTTTTTGCCACAGTGTAGATTTATTTGGCACGTCTGGGGTTTCGAAGGTGCTCCCACCCTTTTTCTGCCCAAACCCCTACAGAGGCAAAAATCAGGGTGGGGGGGGAGGACCGGGTTTACGGGAGCCGAGAGGATCCATGTCACAGTGGAAAGAAAGAGAGGGAATTTGGGGGAAGCTGCTCTCAAAGGCTCCCCAACCTCGCCCCCTTTGTAAAAACAGTTCTACAATCGATCCAGAGTCCATTAAGGCTATGAGAGAGAGAGAATCGGAGGCAGACAGAACTTTGGCGGCTGCGCAGAAAAGCGTCGGGCATCCCCTCCGAAGAGGAGAGTTTACTCGTGCACAGGGGCAGCGTTGGATTCGGCTTGCGCCGGTCAGCTGGCGAGCTACCCACCGCAGTCCCTCCGGCCGCGATCCAGTTCTGGTCTTTCTGTGAAGACTCGTCAAAGCAGGGAGAAAAAAATAATAATAATTAGAGGCACTCATTTTCACGGCGAAATTGGAAACCCCAGCCATCGGGATTCTGAGAAAGCTTTGGAGGCTGGGCGTTTGGCTTCCTTTCACTGTCAGGAGGACAGATTCAGATCTCTTGCAATGAGGGCCCCGGGTCGCCGCGTTCGCGCTTCACGGGGGGCTCGCCGGCACACCGGGAATCAATGTCCACTTCGCTTCCTAAGTCGCTCATGTCATCTGCAGGGATGGAGAGCAAAGAAAAAAAATTAAAATAAAAAAATAGGGGGGACACATAGTTTGAACCTCTGCCTCCTAAATGGAATCATAAAACCCAAATCCAGAGCTTAGAAAGCTCCTTTTAAAAATACTACGAATCCCAGAATCCCCCAACCCACATTCTGTATCTCCCGGGTACAGATGCTGACTAAAGAGTATGGAATGCTACAGATTGCATGGTCTCCATCTCCCTCCAGTGTCCAGTTCCAATAAATACACTCTGGAAATACAAATAACATGTATTTCTGGGTGTGTGTGGGAATTATTTCGTGTTTTCAAGCAGTGGATACGTGAATTAGTGGATACTCATCCCACAGACAGAACGTGGTCCTACTGTTTAGGTATCTTCAGTTAATGACAAAAGCTGAACTGGGGGGGACAGGAAAAGTGTATTAAAATTAATGAAACAATTTATTAATTAAAAAATTAACAAAGCCTTTTAAAATGGGAAGGTTTCGAGGGAAGGCATTGGTTTCAGCCATAAGTTTGGGAGAAATATTATGGCACTTACTTTGACTCAGAGAGCGGGCCATTTTAAGACTCTGATCACGAACGTAAAACCTGCCATTAAGACCCCATTTATTGCTACAACCAGTTTAAATCGCTCAAGCCAGCAAGAAAGCAAATAGGCGAGAGGGTTGCAAGTGCGAAGCTCGGGACATAAATACCTTTTTCCAGGAGGACAGGAGACATGGATGCTAGATCACTTAGCTGGAAAAGAGAGAAAGACAGAGGTTAGGTGGCCCACGGTTTTGGGAAAGGATTCTGTTTCCCTTCCAAGCCTGCCCCTGTTTAGCGCTATATCACCCATCCTTTTTGCTTTCAGACAGGCCCGACACCAAAGGCATTCTCTCCTTAAAAACGTGAATCCTCGGGGTCGAAAGAGCTTCCCACCCTCGCACCCAAACAGCAAACCAGCCGGGCCACTAGCTTCAAAGGAAGCAACTTATTTGGGTGCTGCGTTGCTTGGGGCCACGTCTCGAGAAAGGTCAGGAGAGCCAACCAGAAAAATTTCCCGGGCAATTTCTCGCCACACGCTTACCTCTCCCATCACGGCAATGGGCGTCTCCCCGGTCGCGTGGGCAACGCGGTGCTCCACCAGGTAGAACATGTACTCGTCATAGAGAAGGCGGATCAGGTGGAAGGAGCCGAAGCTGGCGGCACTGCGGAGTGTCAGGTCTCGGATCACCATGGAGCTGTCCGGGGCGGAGTTGAGCCGGGAGGGAGAGAACGTGAGATATTTCGCACGACATGTGGCAGAACTCACAGACTGTTCTTAGAAGCATGGAGAAACCATCCTGAAGGTCATTTAGCCCACACTCTGCTAAGGCCGGACATCCCACCTCTGTTGTGAATCTACCAACAATGGAAATTCCCCCCCCCAACCTCTCAAGGGGCTCTCCCCTTTCCGATTCTGAGCTGAACTTTTCCATGCAGTTCCAACTACCATGGCTCCATCTTCCACCTGAACATTTGGCTCTCCCATCCTCTCTTCCCTGGCCTCAACAGCCCTCCATCATTCCTTGCTAGGATCGGTCTGGAGGGTTTTAGAAGGAGATTGGACCAATTCATTGTCTGGACGATCTCCCCGCCGGGAGAAAAGTAGGATCTCATGGAGAAAGCCTGAGCGCCACTTCTTTTCCTTGACCTGCTAGCTTTCTCATCAGCGGAGGGAAAGGTTCACACAGAGGGGTGCGTGGATGATCACCACCCATCCGATGCAAACCCAGTTATAGAGAAAAGGCACCGGCTTCAATGGAGTTTTCACTGGGGCGCCGGTGCAGGACTTACCTGTAGAAGGACCACTTGAGCAGGAACTGCCGCGCTGCCTTTGGGAAGCTGGGGCCTCCCTCGTGTGGCTTCAGGACCTGGGTGACAACGTTGTCCAGCCAACCGGCCCACTGGTCGAGGGAGCTTTGCTGCTGGAGGGTCAACTTGAAATCCTGCTCCAGTTTCTGCACCAGCCCCTCTTCACACTGGCAGACCCACGAGGCTTGCTCCTGTCGGAGACGGGAGGGAAGCCCAGAAACCAAATGTTTACCTCCCAACATTCAGGCTTTTTTTTCCACCAGAGGAGGCGGTGAGCCGGACTCCGGACCCTCTTTGTTCCGGATTGACCCCCACCTAAAACTGATCTCTCTGAATGCATGCTCAAACTGGCGAGAGAGCCACATTTGCTCGGGCAAGGCACAGCCACTTTAAAAAAATTTTAAAAATGTTTCCAAATCCAGCACGAGGAATGAGTTCAGCTGGGACGGAAGTTCCTCGTGTATAAAGCCAGCCGAAAAGCCGGGTTTCCAGCATGCCAGCGTAAAATAAATAAACACACACACACATACATCAAATTAAAGCACCAAGATAAAGGCTGGAAGGGTGTAACAGCACGAGAAGATTTTTTAAAAAAATCCCTGGGAGAGTCAAAAGACCTTTAACATGGGAAAGATTATAAGACAAGCCCTGCACAAGACTCAAAAATAATGGTTTTGTTGCCAATGCGCTGTTGTGTGTTATTAGAAAAATGATCCGGCTTTTCCCCCTTTGATATAGATGAGAGGAAGAGTAATATAATAGCCTGTTATTGTGGTGCTTATTATGATTGTGGTCTGGCTTTGTTGCAAACTAGGTGGAATGCCCTTGTGCAGTGGAAAACCGGCACAAGGCCTGTCTGTTCGGGCCTCCCTTAGGACTACAATGCCCAGCGTCTCCTCTTCCTGGCTCTGCGGAGCCGGCGGATGAGCCCTCACCTGGACGTTGGCGAAGTCCACCCGGTTGAGGTCGCTGAGCATCTGGTTGATCTGGGAGGTGTTCTGGAGCACGGCGCGGGCCGCCTGGGCCAGGTGGTTGAGCGAGGTGTAGCGCCGGAGCGTCTGGGCGAAGGCACTCACCACGGTCACCTGCGGGAGGAGAAGAGAAGTGGCCCCAGGAAGCAAGGGTGGGGGGAAGGACTCTCCAACCCGGATGGCTTTCAAAGGCCCGTTCGGGGACTCGCGGCCCGGAGGCCCATTGAGCCACCTCTACTTTTTAAGAGGGGGAAGGAGTTTGTGTCTGGGCTTGTGGGTTTTCTGGAGGCACCTGCTTGTCCACTGGGGAGGAGGTGGGCTCACGAACAGGAGGGTGGGGTAAAGGACCCCGGGGCGTCTCTTGCCAAAAACATCAGCAGCAGAGAAGCCAAACTGAAAATGCTTTATTCTTGACATGGGGGGTGGGGATCAACGTGGGATTACAGGATCAGCAGTTCCTCTCCCAGGGCAGCCCATGATTTACCTTGGCCTGGATGACCGGCTGGGGGAACTCGCTCATGGCGTTGGTCAGCCAGCCTTCCAAACCCTTGGCAAAATTGCGGATGGCCTGCGTCAGCGTGCCTGCGAGGAGTGGGGAAGAAGTGTTAGAGCGACCCTGGGAAGCCAGTTAAAACGAGCAGGCGAGCCACTGAAAGTCAAAAAGGTTGAAAGGGGATCTGCAAAACACAGAGGACTGGGAACTTAAGCGAGACTGAGAGGGTAAGACCAAGCAGCTTGTCCTCACCGGGAACCGGCCGGAGAACGTCCGGGATGAGGATCTCCACCAGCGTCTGGTACAGGATGTGGTCGCAGCTTCGCATCCAGGTCAAGACGGCGTCGTATTTGCACAAGGCGACCAGCGTGTGTCTCGGGAGGGCGTCGTCACACGATTCCTCACTGCTGCGAGAACGGCAAGGGTCAAGTGAGGTGGTTCCTCCTCGGGACCAAGCAAAGGTCAAGCGTTCCCAGAGATTTTAACCCAAAGATTCATCTGAACCCTTCAGCCAGCATCAGACTCGTGTCAGCCACGGGGAGGCAGGCGTTTCCAGAAAGCCAGCGCTGCCACTCGCCTCGGGCTGAGCTTATTTCTTTCTTTACTTGTTTATTTATCATTTCAACTTGTTCCACACAAACACACTTCGGGCGGTTCTCCGCGCATCAAACCCCTTCCGACCAACAACGGACAATTGCAATACACAATAAAAGACCATCCAGTGAAATAAAACTCTTTTCTTGTTGTTCTGGCAGTGCTGAAAGACTTTGTCTGGCTAGATAGGCTGCCTCCTGTGGGCAGAAATTACCCTGGGGGACCACCTTGTTGCAGCAAAAATTAAGAATCAATAAAAACATCACCTCTCTGGTGTTGGTAAGTATCACCAGTGGCCATTCAAAGACCCATCATTTTTTAATTCAGGATAAGCTTCTCTTCTGATGCATCAAGCCAATCTTGCACGTCAAATAAAAACAGATCCCACTGGACTAAGGCTGGGCCCACACTCGCTCAAGACGAGGTTTCTTAAGGCATTGATTCAGACTCGAGGCAGGATGGTTCACGGGGGGAGGGGGGGGGAATCAGCAGCAAATTTAAGTTCCCAGAGGTGGGTGGGAAGACCGGCTTGTCCAGGGGACGTGTTCTACCTGGAAGCGACGGCGGAAGGCATCTCCCGAGAGCCAGGCTCAGCGTTCCAAAATGACCGCCAGAGCTTCTCAATATAAGGAAACTGAAGGTTCATGACCACGTCCACGTTGGCCTGAAAGTGGGAGACAGGTGGCCACGAATGATCATTTAATCGCCTTACCGTCTCCTCGTAAACGCTGGGGATCAGGGTTCCCTGGCGAAAAGCCAAACTGAGCCACCGGCAGATCGCAGGGGGAGGACCCAGCAATCCGGTCCCTCGGACTCCCCCCGGATCCGATCCCCAACTCACTTTGCAGTGGCGCCAGTAGAGGAGCTGAAAGGTTTTGACATGGTCGGCCTCGATTCCGTCCCGAGGCAGGACGTGACCCAGGTCCAGGGCCGGGAATTCGGGCAGGATCCGGGTGACATCTGTGAGGTCAAGAAAAATGTGGGCAGGGGGGAAGAGGAGGAGGAAACGGGGTGGTGAAAACCAAGTAAGACTTTGGGTAACTTTCAAGAGAGCCGGTGAAGAGTAGTGGGTATATTTGGGTCCCCTCGGCCCCATTTCTGTCTCTGCTGCTTATCCCATTCGTATGGAGGCCAGGTGCGGTGGGGGGACTACAGCGTGGGACTGGGATGGGGAAGATCCAAGTTCAAATCCCCACCAGGCCATCAACCTCACCGGTCGACCTTTAGCCAGCTGGGGTCTCTCTCTCTGCGCCTGGCCTACCTTGCAAGGTGGTTGTGTGAATCAAAGAGTAGGGGGACAGGAGAGAGTCACACCCACCCTCACAGAGCAAAGTGTGTGTGTGCGTTTTTGCAAAGGCAAGCTGGTCATAAATAAGGAATACATAGGATAATAATTGCCTGCACCCAACCTCTGCTTTCGAGACAAGAAGACTCCTTGAATCTAGGCATCCCCATCAACCAGTAGGGAAGTGCTTTTCTTGGTGATTCACGGGCACTGCACAACTCATGAGTAGTAACTGCCTTGAGCCCGACGGGTTGCTTTTCACCCGGTCGGCGCTCATGCTCACCAATGAACTGCTGGTGATGTTGGCTCTGGGCAGCCACCGACTGCTCCGGGGTGGTGTGGAGGCTGCTGCTGCTTCCTGCTCCGGTCTCAGAGGCCCCCTCCGATTTCTGAGAAGGTCGGTACCTGCCAAAGAAAGGGGGAAAGACCCACGGCTCCCGAATGAGACAGAAGCTCCTTCAGCTTCAGGGAAACCTCACCAGCACAAGGAGACCCAACACACCTGCCAGGGGGTTTGGCAACATGGCTCCAAGGCGGTGCAGAAGGGCGCATAGAAATTTTTTTAAACTTAAATTGATTTTAGGGATTCCGGGAAGCTCCGGTTCCCCGTGGCCCAAGGCTTCCTTACCTCTGTTTCTGGTAGACCGGCTGCTGCCGCATGGCCATGTATTGAGGATCTTCCTGCAGGCGGTTGAGGGGTGAATCCGGCTTGAGACGGATGCCGTAATAATGGTACTTCGAGTTCCCCCTGGAAGTTTTAAAAGGGAAGAAAAGATAAGGCCGGGAGGAAACTCAGCTCCCGGCGAGAGTCTCCCGGCACGCATCCCCTCTCCTCCTCCTGCTCCTCCTCCCTGGATTTGGGGGGGGGGCAAACCTGGTGCCCAGACGGCGGGTCCTCAGCCCCATGAAGACCGAGCGGATGAGCTTCCCAAAGGAGGCAGCATTGACGGGGTCCAGCTTGTGCTCCTGGCAGTGGCGGAGGTAGTGGTTGTAAAGAGAGCTGCGTGGCAGGCTCACCCCTTCGGCTGTCTCATAGTTATCCAGCAGCCACTGGAGCTGCGGAGGAAAGGATGAGGTGGAGGGAAGAGGAAAACATCAGAGGCGGCTGGGGCCAGCTCTTCGACCCAGGTCGCCCTTGGTCCTTAAAAACTGGACAGAAACTGTAACAACACCCAGCATCCCCCCAAGTCCGCAGGGGTCATCTTTGCCGGAAGGGGAGGGGGGGAAAGGACAGTTTTGGAACGCCAAATAAATCAGAAAAAAACTCATCGACCATGGAACACAAACCCAGGGCCGGAGAGGAAAGCAAGAAGGAAAGTGCACAGAAGTGGACGGGTTATGATGAGATTAAAAGATGGAGAAGGTGAGGATGGGATACGGAGCCGGGAGAAGAAGCTGCCACTACCAAGCCAGCAATGAAACGCGCATGAATGGACATGACGTGCAATTTTAGCCTGTAGAGCAAAAGTGAGAAGAATCATCACAGCCAGCACGGCCAGGGTTTTCTGCTTGGGCCAAAGGGGATTGGTCTAGATGACCCTTAGGAACCCCTTCCAACTCTTATCATTCCGGGCTTTCGGGCCCAAAAAAAACCCCAACCCTCCAGAGTGGGAAAACTTACATGGCTGTTCAATAAGCTGGTTTTCTGCGAAGTTATGCCTTCATTTTTTTGGAGGTTTTCAATAGCCATTTCCAGCTGAGAAGGGCAGAAGCCGAGACACAGGAGAGAGAGAGAGAGAACAGAAATCAGATCCTTTGCGAAAGCCCAAGGAGACTTGGCAGGGGGTGTTAATTCGTGTCCCAGTGAACGGCGGAAGCCCCTTCCCGCAAACGAGCCAGGCGAAAACCTCAGCCGGAAAGAGAGAGAGAAGCCAGAAAGCAGGAACGTTGACTCCGAGGGGGGATGGATGGCAGAAGAAGGTGTTCAAAGCCCAGCCATGCAAGGTAGGCTCGAAGGAAGAGGAGGGGGGATGCAAAGCAGGGGGAGATGAGAGAGAAACAACCCTCCGAATTTCTATCCCTCCTGGACTTTGCATTTAAGGATCAAGTTTCTGTCCCTCAAGAAACCAGGAAAGCCGAGCCTGCCCACGGGTTCAGGACACCGGGAACCAGCAGATGTGTTCCATAGACAGAAATTCTCATGGGTTTGTCATTTCACAACAGTCTTTTTCTTTTTCCCCCAAGCTCCGCCGGACCGCTCTCAAATTTCTCCCTTTATTCTAATGGCTTTAAGCTCTGTGTGCAAAATAGTGTAAGGCCCCCTTCGCACCAATCCTGACTGAGCGTCCTCTCTCCAGCTCCAACTTGGGGGGGGAGGGGAACCGTTTCTGGTGCCCTCTGGTCTAATTTGGCTGCGGTTTCTGTCCTAACTTATCGCTGGTTGTAATTTTTATATATAGGTTTTAAGAGGTCTGCAAACCACCCGGCATAGTGTGTCGGCAGTATATAAATCCAAGGAACCAAATAAATAAATCTTAGTCATCAATAAATGCATGCCAGCCTCTTAGAAACAACAGACCCTGAAACAACGCCGGTCAGTGTCGAAAACTTGTTTAGTCGATTCGGAAGCTTAGAAACCCTCTTGGCGGGTGGCTGTCTGCCAAGGTTGGGGTTCCCACCGCCCCTCTTGAGGTTTCCTAGCTCTCCCTGCGGGGGACGCACCGTGGCCGGAGAGGACCGCGAAGTCTGCAGGACGGCGTGCCGGGCGTTCTCCATCCCGCCATGGACCAAGTAGGCCCCCGAGCTGGAGACGATCTGGCTCCCGCCGAGGTCCATGGCCAGACCCACCATCCCGTGGGACGGGACAGCCGTCGGCGAAGAGGCCCCCGAGCTGCTGACCTGCGCGCTGGCCCCCTGGGGCTCGAAGTAGGAGGCGCTGGCGGCGCTGCTGGGGGCGTAGATCTGGGCTTCGGAGTTGTAGGAGTAGGTGGTCCGGCTGCCGAAAGATTGCAGGAGGGGGTGGAGAAAATCAAGAGGGGAGGGGGCGAGAGTTATCATCTGGGCTCGGTCTTTGGAAATAAGGCAGGAGGGGCTGAGAGCAGACAGAGAGAAGAAATCTGCCGGATACACTGCCAAAGGTGGAACTCTCAGCCACCAGCTGGTTGTGAGAGGCTGCCAACCTGCTCGGCTTCAAAATAAGGCTATTTCATAGACTGGGGGGCTGATCTGTGGCTTCTAATCCCAGGGGCTCGGCATTTATTCTCCCCCCTCTCACGCAAGCTAGAAGAATGCATTGTGGCTACGATGCTTACCTGGTGGGCTTCCCAGGAGCATTGTAGGCCAGAGAGAGAGAGAGAGAAACCCAAACTTACATGGCCCCATTGGTGTAGATGGCTTCCCCGCCTTCCACATACTGGACTTGAGCCGGGTAAACGTGCTGGATTGTTTGTACCTGGAAGGAAAGATCAGGCGCTGGGATTCAACCCAAACCAAAGGGATCTGGAGGAGATCCGGTCCCCTGCAGCTTTTCCTGCCAACATACACAGCTATCCTCCGGAGAGAACAGGGGAAAGAGGCAGAAGGCGGCAGCAGGAGAGGAGGAAGAATGCAGATGAGATGGAACAACCCCAGAAGGGAAGCCACAGGAGCCGGGCGTGGCCGAAACTAAATAGGAATTAAAAACCTGAAGGAAAAGAGTGGCACCCCTCAAATATGAAATTCCAGGGGTTTTGTGCGTTAAAACCTGCCCCCCTCAGATCCGTGGAGTGGAATATCACACTATGACCCCACGCCGACAATAGATGCTCCTATCTAGACCAGTGGCCCCCTCTTTTGCTCCGCGGGCCTAAGGAAGGCGGATCGGAACTCACAAACACGCCCACAGAAATGAATCACTTAGTCTTTAAAAGGTGCCACTGAATTCACGTTTTGAATTTTTTTGCTTTCCCCTCCTCTATGCTGAAAGATGCATTTCTTTGCAAATTTAAGAGGCACTAAGGAGGGCCAGCGGCCACCCAGGTGGCCTGCCAATGCCTAGAAATAACAGCTGTTTTCAAATCTGTCTTACGGCTCAAACCCAGGGCATTTTAAAGGCAGCCCCACTGAGTTTCAGCAGGAACTTTAAATAGGTTGAAGTTCGGATACCCAAAACACGAATGATCGTGTGAACGATCCGTCGCCTTATGTTTTGCTGGCTCAGACGCTGAGAGCCGGGTTTGAATGAAGCCAAGGACAGCCACAAAATTGTTTCTGGGAAGCAGCAAAACACAGGCTAGAAAATTAAAGACAGGGTGCCTGGACTTCCTCCCCCCCCAAAGCAAGCATCATAAAGACCCTGTTTTTTAAAAAGCCACCCCTGGAAGTGCTCCCGATTGTTTCCCACATTACCTGCTGGACACGAGGGATGCTGAGCGACTGCATCTGTGCGCCTTTCGGAGCTGAGCCTGTAGTTTGCACCAAAACCCTCTAGAAGCCGGGAAAGGAAGAGAGAATCGTTGCTTTGTAATGCCCCAAACTGCCTGTTCCCCCGCCCAGACCCGTGGGATTTTTATTTTGCTTTTCGGGACCCACAGGGGTATCAAAATCGGTGGGCCTTTCCTCTGTCAGTCGGAGGAACTGTACCTGTTGGGATGCAGGGACCGGCTGAACCACGGGCGCCTGGACTGCAGCTGCCGTCCGCAGGGCCACGGGGGTGACGGGCTCGGAGCCGCTCTCGGAAGCCTGCATGCTTCTCTCTGGAAGGAAGAGAGATAGAGAAAACCAGAATGTGTGAGAGGGAGGGAAAAACAGGTCTTAATTAAGAGGTTAATTCCATCATCCGTCGCAGGAAGGAAGCCAGGGAGCGGCCAACCTGACCAGGGAAGGGGTCTGCCCTCGCCAGCAAGACAAACGGACAAAATCAAAGGCCTCCAGACGGAGGGTAGGCTGGGTTTCAGAGGCAAGAAACGGGATGCTTCAGATCCTGATCAGAACCTCCAAAAGGACACGGGGACATGTTGTACCTGAAAGGTGACCACGTTTCATTTGGCACGTGGTTTCGTGGCTCCCGTCTCCCCCTGCTCCGACAGGTGCGTCGGAAGAAATGACAACGGGTGCTACTTAAACGTTATTTTTTTCGCAGTTAAAAACCTACAGCCCAAAAGCCACCTTGCCCAGGGGAATTTTAAGGTGGGGAAAAAAATCAGGAAATCAGCATCCCAAAAATATTTGATGGCAAAAACTTTTCAGAAGCTGGAGATGTGAAAGATTGCCTTACTCATGTGCCTTGTCTGATCTGCAAAAGTCCAGACACCTGGGACTGCAAACCTCAACCCTCCCCAGGGGGCAAAGATGTTGACCCTCCTGGCTGGAGAGCATGGGCTTTATAGTCCTCAGCCTCCATCTCTTGCTACTTTGTTCCCGCATTCAAATTTGCAAAGACAAGACAAACTGGGTTTTTTAACCCCCAGAGGCCTCGGGGTTGTGACAGCAAGAGTGGGTGACCAGCCTGAGGAGGATGATACTTATAGGCCAAAACTTCCGCAGGATGGGGGCAGCTACGGACTTGCAATAACCCACCCGTGGCTCGTGGCTGCCTCAAAACCATGGCGTCTTAGAGGGAATAATGTCCCCGTTAGCAAACTTGCACCATTCGGCGGGGAATGAAGGGGCGATCCCCAAGCCAGCCATCATCCTCTCGGCCTGCAGCAGCTGGAGGCAGGGGGAGGGAAACAGAGTCGCAAATAGACCCCCTTTTTGTGTCTGTGTGTGTGTGTGTGTCAGGCCATGGAGCAAACTCACGCCTGGTGAGCCAGCAAGGCAGACATTAAAGACAGATGGAGTCCTTAGAAACCGCCTCTGTTTACCCCGAGCGGACTCGGTATCTATGCAGAGAGCATGCGAGAGGAAAAAGGAACCATTAAAAAAAAACCAAAACAAACCACAGAAATAGAAGGAGAAGAAAAATGTGGGAGGGGAGGTTTGAGTAGGAAAAAAAGCAGGCCAGTCCTTTTTCTGGCCTTGCTGATTTTTGAAAAGGAACTGTGCAGCATTTGAAATAAACTTTCAAATAAACTTCGGCACTGCTGCTAAAATTCAGGCTTAACCCCAGTTCTGGTTTTCTCCTCCTCCTGTCCTTTCCCTCCTCACTCCTTCTCCAAGGCACCCCCCTTTGTGCTGTCCGGTCGGGCAGCCTCCAGCTAACAAACCAAGATTCTAGTCCTCATGACTTGGAATCAAAGCCCTGTGGGAATAAAGAGTGAGGGGGCTATTTTGTGCTGAGTCAAACCTTCCGGGTTTGCCAGCGTTCTTTTAGAGTGCCATCTGGTCTCTTTCCCAGCACCCCCAGGGGGATGTCAGGAATCGAACTCAAGACTTTGTGCAGCTGAAAGCACAACAGGAGTGCCAAGGCGCCAGTCCTTAAGTTGGCTTGCCAGGGAACCAGCCCCAATGAACGCTGCAGGATTTGGGCAAAAGAACACTCCAGAACTGCCTGGCAAATATTTTTCTGGTATTATCCTTATTTCCGTGTTATTGTTCCTGCTTCCAGGATCACTCAACGCAACTCGGGTGTGAACCGACTCTTCCCGGCTGAGCCGAAAAAGGACGGACGGATTTTGCTAAGTGCACAAAAAACATTCCCAAAGGTGGGGGGGGGAGCAGAGAAGGGGGAAAGCAAAACTCTACAAATATCTCCTTTGGTGCAGAATAAACCGCATATTTTTTTAAAGTGCATGTGCGAGAAACACACATTTATTTTTAATTTTTTCAGAGCGGGGAACCGCAATCGCTTTTCCTGCCTGCCACAATTTTTGCAATCCTGGCCTTGCAAAAGGCCGGCTTCTTTGGGACGTCTTTTGGATTATTTTTCGAGCTGCTTGCAAGGGGAGAAAAGTCCAGAGAAGTGGAGAGGGCTGGGGTTTTTTTGGGGGGGGGAGAAAGAGAATGAGAGACAGAGAGAGATGCCATTGTTTAGTTTATGAAGCTTTCCCTCCGTTGCTGAGCAACCGGCCCCTGGAAACGGGGAGTGGACCGCCGTCGCCCGGGGCAACCGTTGTGACTCCGTAAACAATGCCCAGGACCAGAGCAAACACAAGCCAAAGCGCCCGGTTATTAATTGAACATCTGCAAGCAGCTTTTCTCCTTTTTAGATTTCTCTCCCACTGCCACGTCAAAAGCCCGGCGGGCAAGAGATAGACTCATTTAAAGCTGGATTTTTTAGGATGACGACGACGATTTTTGTTATTATTCTTCAGGGTGCGATTATCTTGCCGCCCAAACGGCTGGATCTGAATGATAATATTGTCAGATCCCAGAATAAATCAAAGTTGCATTTGTTCGGGTTTTATTTTTTCTTTTTAAGCACTTGATAATCCCGGGAAACGCGGGGTGTGTGTGTGCGTGCGTGTGTGTAATGGGGGGAACCCTCCCACCCACATATCAGGGATCTAATAACCCCTGACAATGAATAATAATATGAACAATTATTTTAACTGCTGGACAACTCGGTAGTTTAGGTCTCTGGGCTGAGGAGCCCGAGGTTGGGAGCTCGAATCCCCCCACCAGGCCTCCTTGACAAGGGCTGGGCTGGATGATCCTTAGAGGTCCCTTCCAGCTCCAAGCTAACAACAACAATAGCCATAATAATACTTTAAAATGAACGTTTCGAGGTCACCATCCAATCTGGGAATTTAGATTACGATTTTCAAATGCAAGGCACTGTCCGAGTTGAAAGCACTTTGTGGGGTGCCGTATTTAAAGCCCTCCCCGATGTTTCTGGGGGCGGTGACCCCCCTTTTAAACTGGTCTATCAGCCCCCCCAAGTTATGGATTTTAATTGGAACCCAAATGCAGCTACAGAACTGCAGAGTTGGTGCCTCTGAGTATGTGCCAGAACCAAAGTGCGGCTGACTGTACCAGGGACCGTCTGAACATCGGGTTCGAAGAGCGACATTCCCTCCCCACAAGTCTCAGACCCACTGAGATGCAGCCCTCGTTGCAACCCAGAGGAACCCAAAGTGAAACGGACCCACCGGGGAAACAGCTCCTACTGGTTCAATTTGCGAGCCCCCCTTTTTATGAAAAAGGGGGGTGAATGGTTTTATGCAAGCGGGGGGGCCAAAGGAGGCTTGGCTAGGGGCCTGCCAACCTTCTCCTAACAGCTCACGACCACGACCAGCCCGGCTTGGCCGCAAAACACAAACCATCTAGAAACCTTCCAGCTGATGACCCGTTTCCATCCAGTGGGATCTATTTTATTCTCACTCTATTTTATTGTAACTGTATCAAATGATTATGTAATGTTCTTGTGTTTTATTGTTTTATCCTATACTGAAAGCCGCCTAGAGTGGTTGAGTAGACCAGATAGGCGGGGTATAAATCAAATCAAATCAAATCAAATCAAATCAAATCAAATCAAATCAATCAGTCAGTCAGTCAGTCAGTCAATCAATCAATCAATCAATCAATCAATCAATCAATCAAGCAGGTCTAGTTGCAAAACCTTAGATCTGAGCTATGCAGCATATCTCCTTGCAAAACCTTAGCTGTTGAAGCAGGTCATTGCAAGACCTCAGCTGCTCCGGAGGCCAAGTGACCAGGGTTAGCTTGGTGCCTGCTGTGCTTCTCCTCTGGGCCATAAAGAAACTTAGGCTGTAGAACAGGGGTGGGTGAGGAATGCATGGCCTTCCTGGTTGTCCAGGATTACAAACCACATCATCCCTCCCACCACCGGAAAGGTAGCCTGCCAACATTCAGAAAGCTACACCCTCCCCGCCCAAACTTTGCTGGGGTTATCAGGGAAAGAAGGTGGCTTATAAATAAATAAGATAAATATGATGCACCGAGCATCCTGCTCTGTGTTTCGCACGGAACCATCCCAGAATCATTTAGAGTGAATGGAAGCAAGGCTCTGAAAAATTATTTGTTTTTGGATTACTGCTCCCTGCGGCCACCTCCCCAAGGGGATAATGGGACTTGTGATGCAAGATCTTTTTTTTTTTAACCAAGCTCTGCTCTGAAATTAAGGTGGGAAGAAATGTATCTGGGCTGTTAAAAAGCAGGACCCCCCCCCCAAGCAAACCAGCAGGGCAGAATGAGGGTTTGGAAAGCGGGTGGGCAGGGGGGGTAAAAGAAGCCCTGGCTTCAGGGATTTGAAATAATATTTTCAAATCCAGTTCAAAAGCTGAAAGGAAATTTTGGCGGGGCAGCAAGTCCCGGCATGCCAGACAGACAGAAGCGTTGGAGAATGCGAGGAGGGCTTGAACCAGGCCGGCATTTGGCTCTGGTTTCTCTGAGAGGGGAGGGAATGCTTTAATTATATCTCAGCAAGTCTCGGGGAAAATAAAAATTGCACCACGAACTTTGGCTGAAGAGGGAGAGAGACCCCCCTCCTCGGATCTGGGCCTCCAAACTCCCTCCACCCCGCCCCCCAGCCAGCTGCTTGCCAAAAGGGCCCATTATTGTATTTGGAGGATATTTTTTAAAAATATTTCATTTATTTAAAAATATTTAAAATGTTACTGAGGATATTTTAAAAAGTTTTTTACCCAGGAGAAAATGCCACGTTGGTGGTGGTGGGGGAGTTTGTAGGCAATGCACCCACTGAAAGAGGCATCCAGCACTTTGAAGAATTGCAATAAAATTTTAAAAAGAGTGGGATTTTAGAGGTTAGGGGACTCCTGCAAACTTGGCAATTAGACTCCACACTCAAGTCGTGCCAAAAAAGGAGCTTTTCGGCTTGGCTCCAGCTGTCCAGTTTCAGACTCCTTAGCAGGGCCGAATGTTTGATTTGGACCAGTCCTTGGGTTTTTGGTGGTAAATAAGACCAGATTCAAGCTGTTCTACTATGTCAGGTTGGACTCGGGCTCCCATCAACCACAGGTTGGCGTGCCCCCCAAGACAGAAACGATGGGAGCTGTAGTCCACGAAGTTGTCGGAAAGGCCAAAAGCCGCTCGGTTGCTTTTGGACACAGGACCTTTGACTGCGGATTTATTAATTGATTTATTACCCATCCATTGTAGACATCAGATAACGATCGTTGGGTATTTAATGCAATCGGGGTAATTGGAATCGCCATGGAAACAACCTAGGCTGCAAAAAGGTTTTTAAAAAAGGGACGCTAACCAGGAATTTATCTCTGTCTCTTCTCTCTTCCTGGCATGAAATGGGTCGCCGGGTTTGGAAAAAACAGGAATCTAACTTGCCAATTTTTTTTTCAAAACAAGTAAAAAGTGCAAGCTGGAGCGGAGGATGAGCGGGGAGCCGATTAACTGGTTCCACTGGACGTGGTTAGCTGCTCCCCCTTCCTTTTACTTTTAATGAGCTATTTTAAATAGGTAAATAAAAGGCCACAGATCAGATTGGCCACTAATTAGTCAGCCCCCCTCCCCCCAAAAAATGTACACTTCCGCCCAGGTTTGGTTTAAAATTTAGCCCAAGACGGGGAAAAGCAGGATGAAGTGAGATGAGATCGCTCGAGGTAAGCGAGCCAAGTTGCGTGGAACTGGGATATCACGTTTTGCTTATTACATTTCCAACATCACACAGACAAAAATCAAGAGAACATCCTGTGCATGCTCAACTCTGCATTTTGACAAAACGGGAGAGGTTCTTGTGCAAAAAATTATCAAAAGACTCGGAGTAAAAAACACAGGTCTTTCAGTTCTGATGCAGAAGGGGGGGGGAATCTCATAGTAATTGGGGACTTTTTTTCCTATCGTGAACAGGTTGAGGTACGCGTTTTTAAAAAGGTGAGTACGTTTGCAGATCTGTGTTAACCCCCTCCCAAGATAGAAGTGCTCTCTTTTTTTCTGGAATTACTTGAGAGAGAGAAAAATGTGTCAGGAGAAGTTTTAGGCCTGGAAGCTTACAAATCTAGTATTTATTTTGTTTTTGTTTTAAATACATTCCTGCAGGGATTGAACCATTTGAAGGATACTTACAAATAAACCAGCAAAACATTTGCAAAGGGGAAAAAATGAGGCTACAGTTTACTTAAAATAAAGTTATTATGTTACACATTGGGGTTTTCAAAATGGGTTCATGGCCTGCCTACTGAGCTATTTTAGGATGCTTAAAAAATAAATAAATACAGGGCTTACTCCAGAGTATATATGGAGATATAGACGCACATGCCCCTTTTGCTCAACAGTCGCCTGGGGCCACAAAAAGAGGAGTTATAAAGGACCAAAAATGGGTGGGGAGATATACAATACCGTATGTGAAATATATAATCCAACTTGCGCTGCAAAATTGCAAGCAGCTCCCTGCAAGTTTGATTCTGAGGGATGCCAAGAACCAGCTGCCTGCGTCTCCAGGCTCCACTTCTCCAGCAAAAACTCCACGGTCTAGGTCTCAATCCGGATTATTACTGCAATTTCATGCACGGGGGTGAGCGTGCCTGTCTACCAGGTAAAACTTCTCACTCACTCCGGCCTAGCAAAAAATAGTATTTTAACTGAGAGCAAAGTTTGAACTCCCAGAAAGAGAGAGAGAGACAGAGCTCTCCCCCCTTCCCCCAATCTGGAGCCTGGGGGGGGGGCTGAATGGGAGTCACTCCGATTTAAGCACCCCAGCTTTAAAGGGGGAGTCACTTCCAAGTTTCTTGCAAGCTTTCCCCAAAATCAACACACACACACACACACAGAGAGATTTTCCCCAAAATCAACATACAGAGAGAGAGAGAGAGAGAGAGAGAGAAACACTACATCCCAGGATCCCATCCATCTGGATCTGGAGTGACTCCAGTTTCATCAGCTAACTCTCTTTCAGTTCTCAGCTGGTTCCCTTTCCAAGTGTGACACCGATTTTCCATCCTCTGGAAACCACTCCGGTTTCTCTTCCTCCTCCCCCCCAAAAAACACATCCACGACCCCCTTCCCTTTCTTCCCGATTCTCATCTCAGGTCATCATCATCCTCAGGCTCCCACCTCTTACCCCCTACTACCACCACCCGCAGTCGCTCCCAAGCCGGCGCTGGGAGGTGTCACTCCGGATCGCCGCTCCCCTCCCGCCTCTTCTTCCTGCTTCCCTAAATCCTGCAAACAAAAAGCAAAGCGCCCTATATGTTACTAGTCTAAAGGATTCCTCCAACTCCAGCCGCTCCCCCAAACCCGAATAGCAATACCCCCCTCGCTCCTTTTGAACTTCCTCTCTGCAGCATCAGAGCGCCTTCCGGGTCCGGATCCCCTAATGCGGAGCCACTCCGGATTACAACCACGACCCCACTTCTCTTCCAAACGCCCTTTCTAACCCCCCCTCTCTTACTTCGCTTTCCAACCAGTTGTCCCTCACTCCGGTTTAGGCAAGCGGGGAAGACAGAGAGACCCTCCTCCTCCTCCGCTAATCCGGAGTGACTCCGGTTCCGGAAGCGGAGTGACTCCGGGGTAGCTCCGCTTCCTCCTCCAGCTCCGGCGGGCTTACCTGCCGCCCTCTCCGGGCTGCCCTCCTCCGAGGGGCTCCGCTGGGCTCGGGCGGCGTTGGGGGGCGGCGGCGGCGGCGGCTCCCGTTGGCAAGAAACCGTCTCCAGGGCTACCGTCACTATGGCGCCTCCTCGCGCGGGGGTTTCGAGGCAACTGTTGCTATAGCTCTCCCCCGTGGTGACGTCACGCGCCCCGGCCACGCCCTCTCCTCCTCCTCCTTCCTCTCGGGGCCCGGAGAAGAACCCGCCTCGCCGCGGATTGGCCAGCCCGTCCGCGGCTGGAGTTGGTTGTTCCTGCCCCTCCCAGAAGCGGGGGGGGGGGGG